CTAAAACAGATCTGATCTTGAGGCCCACCTAGGTAAGATCTTCATATGTTCCAATTAAAATAGATCTTATCTGCTGGACTGAGTCATGTAAACGGTGAATGAAGTTTGTGTGTGTGTGTGTGTGTGTGTGTGTGTGTGTGTGTATTAAAAAGCTTACAGTGTTTATTATGATACTTTCAACATTTACATCTTAGTAATACTACACTGTTTCAATTTTGTTATGAAAGAGCCACTTTCAGATGTTGGAGTCATAAATATATTTAATCAAAAACCTAAACGGTTAAGATATTTGCGATGATTAATTGACAAAATATGGAAAAACATGAACCCTTGAAAGAAATGAATTCTGAAGAAAACGCTATCAGGAAAACATAACAATTTTTTGTCAAAATCTCAAAGAGATGTAAAATTAAAAACATATCTTGGCTATAAATACATACATGTTAAAAATCAACCCAACATTTTACCTCCAACATACACATGTACTACAACATGTCAAGTTTCAATGCATCATGGTATCATCAATGCATCATGGTATCAACACTATACGTAACATTGGACCATGGGAATGATTGATACATGGATTAAAATAGACATACTCAAAATCTGTCATTTTAAAAATCTGTTTGAAGAAAGCTTGACATTCTTTATATATATATATAGCTACTAAATGATTAAAACTAATCCTAATAATCTCTCTAATAAAATATATCATAAAATAAAAGTAATACTGTTTCTGAAAAAGCTGTAATCACTGAAACCCTTCTCCTCTTAACAGTCCAAAATGTTTATAATAAACAAGAGGTAAAAAAAGGTCAGTACTGCTTACTTGTTATTCTGCTGGCAAATGCATCTCATAGCCTTCAATGTAGGTCAAGGTCTAAACTTGATGGCAAGAAACACTACAGCAATATCTCACTCCACAACTATTGTTGGATGATTGTAAATTATTTCATCTGAAACTCATGGACCTTTAGAACAAGCCTTCAAAGACCTTTGACCTAAGGGATCTTACATAATTAAATAAATGTAACAACTTAATAAATAAAATAATAGTACCTAACCATCCTTATATGACCTGGCTGTTGTGAGGATGTTTAACCCCAAGCAAACAAACAAATACAACCCAAATATTAGACCCCATCTAGGGGGTTCATTTCATCAAATTTGGCAGCACTCCACTCAGAGATCTGAAGACCAAGTATCACATATACTATCTCTCTGCCTTAAACTTGTGCGTATAAGGAAGAAGTTCCAAGAAAATATTGACGCAATGAGGACAACAAAAGAGTTGAACACCATCACATAAAATTTAGATCTCAGATTGTGAAGGGAGGTCTGGGCGAGCTTNTTGGTGTTTGTGAGGGGGTCTGGGTGAGGTAAGAATGCCTGTAGATGTCCTTGGTGTTTGTGAGGGGATCTGGGTGAGGTAAGAATGCCTGTAGATGTCCTTGGTGTTTGTGAAGGGAGGTCTGGGCGAGGTAAGAATGCCTGAAGATGTCCTTGGTGTTTGTGAGGGGGTCTGGGTGAGGTAAGAATGCCTGTAGATGTCCTTGGTGTTTGTTAGCTGTGGAGATCTGAGTGAGAACAACTACTTATACATGTATATGAGTGTCTCTTAACTTGTATTCTCAGTTTTAACAAGAGTACATGTAAGCGTATTTTGATACTTTGTGTTTAAGAAAGAATATTTCGTAAAAAGTCACAAAAATAATGATGTCTTTTGCATTTGTTTGGATCCTTGGAGATTCATTGTCCAGAAAGTTAAAACAAACAGCTATCATCAGATCTATAGATAATAATGGCTCAATCATCTACAATGTATGTCTTAAACCCCTAAAACTGTATGCCATTAACAAATCTAACCTTATATATATTCTTTGACTGCAAAATTGCTATAATAGAAAGGTTTAAAACCAAATGTATGTTTATTTACAGTAAAATCTCACAATACCAACATCATTTGTTAGGCAACATTGTGGCATGGTAAACTTAAAAGGAGTTCAACAATATATCAACGGAGATCTATTAAGGAAAAATATTCAGAAAAAAAGTCGATGTTGAAATACAATGGCAGTAAGTGAGGTAGAAAAAAGAAAAAAAAGACATTATATATCCCTGCTTTACTGGACATACTGAGCCATTGATAAAAAAAAAGGTTTGGTATGGACGGCTGTGTACAAAGCCCTTCAGTGTAATAGACTGAGAAAGTAAATATCATAGATACAAGGAGTTATCTAAAAACACAAGTACCTGAAATATCTGCTAAAAGGGCCACTTCTGTTATCTCATCTCAAACAGTGTGACCAGTTGGACCCAAGTTGTTCATTAAAGAAAGAGGGACAGGTATAGTGATCTACTAGTGATGTTTTCTAGAGAGTCTAAAAACAGATTTCCTTAAACCTGCAGTGCATGTAATTCCAGATTACTTTTCATGTCATACTTCTACAGCACAGCAATTAGGTATGTATCTAATAGTGTCCTTATGTACGGGGTGTTACTTACATGTATATATAGAAAACACAACTAAGGTAAGTCTTAGTGGGCAGTCTTTATAGACAAGTTAGGACCGTGACGGAAAGGAAACAACACCACCGTACTACGATTACACTAGAACTGATCCAACCAGTCATACTTTATGTCAAAAACATCCCCCCAAAAAATCCAATTATTGACGTTATCTTTTCTGTCATTCCTTTGAATTTTTCATAAGTAAAAATCTATTTGTAATAAAGAGAATAACTGTGAGTAGGTGATAAATCTTTGGTGACCGCCATTGCTGTGTACTTGTGGAAGTGTTTGTCAGCACATGTACAACTAACAAGTAGTGACTAAAGAGCAGGGGAACAGGTTCTGTACTAGGGGATCTGGAACAAATACGACCCTCTGGAAAATGACCTAATGCAAGGCTAAATGTGTCTAAATTTTCTGATATGAAAACATTTCTTTACAAAAACTTTATTCTTGAATTTTTTTAGGGACAAAAAGGACATAAACCATTTAGGTTATATTTGTCTTGGAGGGGGGGGGGGGGGGGACACTTATGTAATTTGTGCACATTTGAGATTTTCCAGATGTAAAAAAAGTATACAAAAATTGTACAACCTTGATTATTTGCACATGTACATTATATGAAGTTATGGACATCACCATAACAAAAACAAATAATAGTTGTCATATCAACAAGAAAGCAAAATATACATATGTTCATGTACCATCCATACAACAGCATCACAAAACTCAGGATTAACTTAATGCTTTTTATGGCAGTGTTTGATTGGGAATAAAAGTTTGAAAAAAAATTGTATATTTTAACAAAACACAACAATATTAGCAATATAACACCTTAAATACTGTATAATATACCTTGATTTTTCCCATATGCATATATATTGATGTTAATTGTTGAAAATTCCTATTTGGAAAATATCAGATGATGTTGTGGAAATGCAGAGTAAATTTCATGGAAAAGATTTTTACATTGATAAGCCCTAAATACAGCCCCAACAATATTGGCCAGATATATATGTACCCACTGTAGTCTGCAGACAACCAATCAGTAAGCATTTCATTTGATAATGATTTTACATACAGTATATTGTTTGAAAAATATGTACAAACAAATGAAGAGTTTAGGACTGACAACAGAACATTAACACAACTGGGGAAACATGAATAATGTATGGTAATTAGTCAAACTTTGTACTCTGGAACAGAAGGAGATTCTGGTACACACACAGGCATGATGTGTCGGTTATGGCAGATGATAGTTTGTTAGACCTCTATGCGAGAAGGCGTGGTCTCTTTTTTGACAATGTGGAATCCGCCTTGTTTCCGAGAGATGAGAGCCCATGTCACTCCGCAGGTCTCCATCACGATACAAACAGGCATCAGTAAAATGGGACAGATACACAGGAACAAAAACTTCAGCAGTCCAGTCCTGCGATAGTTAAATGATTTCACTGCTCCGAACACAAACAGGAAGAGCATAACTCCACCCATGAAGCCACACAGGAAGTTGATGATGTTGGGCATCGGCAGTGGGTACAATGGCACTAGAACTAGGTTCGGCACGGTGATGGGCATGACTAACCAGCTAAGAACCATCACTGAGATGCCAAACTTGTTCCTGGCCGGGATTTGACGACTAAGAAGGACCATGATGATGCCTTGTACCCAACGTTTCCGCTGACGAATGAAGTCCATCAAAGAAAAGGTACTTTTTTCCCACATTTCACCCTCAATGAACCCAAACTTGTATCCTTCTCGCCAAGCACTCAAAGCAAAGAAACAGTCCTCAGCGATGCTGCCCTCAGATCCAAAATCAAAGGTTATCTTTTTCTCCGCAGCGACATTTGCTACCACGTAACTTCCTTTCCAACTAAACAAAGGTTTATGTAAATATTTAAGAGTGTATCTGATGATTCCGTAGTCTACCCCTACACGTACTAAATCGGCAATAGTTGTTATCCAGTTAACAATTTCTTCATTGGCATATGTGATGACACCCTGGCCAAAACTGTATAGTCCCTCTTTTATAAAATTGATTATTCCTATAACACAGGATTCTGTTAACAGCGTTTCCTCATCCAAGTGAATAATCCAGTCATTATCTGATAATACATTTACACTGTCCTCCAGGCAGTACTGTAGAGCGCGCGCTTTATACAGACAGCCGTTCGCTGATTGATACTGTGCTGGTACAACCACCTCACGAGTACGAGACGATTTAGTAAGGTTGATTGCTGTGTCAGTCACTACTTCAAAAATATAATTATCAAGGCCAAGCTCTGAACATATGGCGATATTACGACTAACATTCTTCCTGACTAATTCGGGAAAGGTCCCACGTGTTACAACTCGGAAGCAGAGAAATGGTCCAAAAAGTGTGGAGGACTTCACTTTGGGTTTTTCAGGGAATGTGTTGAACATGACTATTCCAAGGAAGTTACATATTGATAAAGGCAATGGTACCAATGTCAGAAGTCTCATTATATACATCAATATGGTCGGCCATTTCCCGTACTTTTTATACGGGTCAAAGTCCTGCCATATACCTGGACCAAAAGTTCCAGTCATTACAATGAATATGGCAAGAATGGTGAAGAGAATGCATAGTACAAGGAGATGGAGAACGCCGGACTGATGGACAAACTTCATCCTGATGTTGTAAAGATTGGCTACAATGTACCTCAATGTAAATCCTCAGCATCACCTACAAAACAAAGAGTCGATAATGACATTTTTTAAAACAGAAAATGATATCCATATGTATCGTTTCCTCAACAGAATAATATTCCTATCAAAACTAGGCATATCAAAGTTGCCAAAACTATCTAAAATAATATCACTTTTTATTTAGAGTAGATACCATCAACTGTATAGCAATTTTAGCAAAATAGAAATGAGTATGTTAAGTAATGCTATACATGTACTTTCCATTTTGGGTACCTTCACATTATACCGATTTGGTTAGGTGGTGTTATACTTTATACATACAAATAATATAGTCTGAATAATGAATATGCTTCTTGATCAGTCGAGTTCACAAACGTGACCATGTGCCACGCCATTTTTGAATATTTTGTCTGGCGACATTTTGTTAACTGTACAGGTCAATATTCACAGCTAAAAGATGTGTATCGATTAGGTTGCCTTACAAGCGTCAGCTGTAGAAGGACTTTCCCTTTAGGTCATTGGTAAAGGATCGGGCTGGAGAGCCAATGGTTGCGGGTTCGAGCCCCAGCGAGGGCACTATCTTATCTCTATTCCTCGTCCTACTACAAATTGGTGCCGTTGACCCTCTCTGTTCAAGGTAGGAGAACCCTTGGTGGGGAGTCAAGAAACTGGGTTAGTGTATGAAAAAAAGGGGGAATAGTGTAAAAGATGTGCATTGATTAGTAGGTTGCCTTACAAGCGTCAGCTGTAGGTAATTTCCCTTTAGCTCAGCAGTAGAGCATCGGGTTGGAGAGCCAATGGTCGCAGGTTCGAGCCCCAGCGACGGCACTATCTTTATCCCTATTCCTTGTCCTCCTACACACATACAGTATATATGCCATGCTACAAACCGTAAAATTCAAATCATCGTAACTCGGTCATTCAAGTTTTAACCCCTTGAAATATTCATTGTCGTCGATTTCTAAATTATCAGATAATTAAAAGATTTCATTCCAAATGTCACATTTAGTAAATAATGTTCGAAATTTTTGTAGAATTAGAAAAAAAATATCAACAATCGCGTTGTTGAGATATTAATTAAAATATCTTTATATTCGATTCCTTGATTGGGTTTTCAGTCCAGGTTCGGGAGCAGCGTACAAGATTTACCGGGGACCCGCCTTGTTGTTGGTTGAAGATGGTTTAAAGTGTCACTGCATGTGTGACTGCTGCTCCATCCCAAAAGTTAAACAAGAGGCCCAGAGGGGCTGTATTGCTCACCTGGTTATTTAAGCAATCATGGCAAAAAATTCTCAATGAAAGTATTACTGCAAAGTCTTAAGGATAGGGCATGTGTATCCAAGTCTTCATGCTAAGCAAAATGCATTATACTAGGGATAGGGTCTCAAAGGTTAATTATGACCCAATGAATTAAGTCCCTAAGGGCCTGTCCAGACCACAGGGTCAATTCAAATATCATGACCCTATTCATATCTGTTTATGCCAAGTAATTATGGCTAAAGGGTAGGCCGGGGATCTCAACGTTTTTAAAGTTATGACCAAGGATCAAGTTCCTAGGGGTATGGCCCTATATTAGCGTATAAATAAAATAAATAAATTAGGGCGAAAGGGATTTAGGGCGAAACAACCTTTAGCGCGAACAGGATCTTGGGCGTAACAGCTTGTTACCCTTTGTCAGGTTGGGCGTTGTGCCCAACCTGACAAAGGGTAACAAGCATATGGGTAATAATCCTGCATTTGGGTAACATCTTTGTATGTTATGGTTGAATGCACTTCGAATCTACTTTCACTATCCTATATAAAAAATATTTTTTTTGTACTTCACTATCTTTATTAAAAATCGCTATTTATATGGTTATTATAAACAACTTTTGGTTGAACGTTTCGTGTTTTGACATTTTCCGTGATTTTAGATGTCCCGACTTTTCTAAGGCTTCAAAGGTCATGAAATACTTTCAAAACCGAAAACTGTTCAACCAAAAGTTGTTTGTAATAACCAATAGATATGGCGATTTTCAATAACGTAAGTGAAGTACAAAATTTTGATTTTTTATATAGGATAGTGAAAGTAGATTCGAAGTGCATTCAACCATAACATACAAAGATGTTACCCAAATGCAGGATTATTACCCATATGTGCCGTTGTGCCCAACCTGTTTGTACCAGGTGAGCTAAAAAGAAATGATCGGCATACAATACTGGACCTGAATACATTTATATAGTCATATTGGATAACACCACTATCAAATTTGAAATTTACAGAACATGGGTAGTGGTTAGTTACCTACATGTAGCTGTTTCTTGGGTTGGTGTAAATTTTGAACAAATGAATTACATAGGACAAAAAATACAACCGGTTAAATTGATAAATACGATTTTATCTTAAATTTAAAATCCAAATCACAACATCCCAGCCATGTCACGTGTACATGTGAAAGCGTCGATGTTCAGTGCAGGAGATTCATCGACTGAAAAGCCGGAACTCGGAAGCTTTAGTAATTGTAAAAACTGTAAAAAAATGAATGATTGTGTAACTTTAAATGCGAGGAAATCGAGTCTTGTACCTTTAAAATATGATAAAATACGCTAGAATCCCTTTCATCTCTCCATCATCAACTCATCCGCCATCATCTTACACTCGGAATTCATCTCCTTTTATCGGAACACCTTTTGACGGTTCGTACCTAAAAGGCGACAGGAAGCGTCGTGAAAGAACATGTATCGTACGGACGATATCAGTGCTATGACTAGAATTCTATGTCTCTGCTGAATTATATTACATTCGGAGTTTCACTGTGATTTGTAGAAAAAAAAATGACTGAGATATTATGATTTTTTATGATCAACCTCATATATGGTGGTTAACTAAAAATCAGATTAGCTACCAGAACTGACAAGAACTTATTGGGCTTTACAGATGTAACCAGTTATGTAAAATACTGTTCATGTAGCATAAGGATTTCAGACTGTAAACCAATTAACGGAGTCAGCGACATCAGAAGATGTGTTGTTTGCGTGAGTCTGACTATCAATATAGGAAGACAGGCAAGTTCGGCCACAGACTTAACCGTGGTTCGGCTATTATTAAAGGCGTTCTGGACTGTAATGGCATTTTTTTCAAATGTGTGTGTATCAACATCATTTGGAAGAAAATGTCCACACCTTTCATGTAATAATAACAAAAGGGCAAACACGTCCGTATTTGAAGAATCATTTACCTTTTTTTTTGTCGGAACATTGGATGTATCATGGACTTATAAAGACGTCGTTGGGCAAGTTCGGTCAGACTGTCTGGGGTAAGTTTGGCCCACGTTGGAATCAGCATAATTGTCTTTCAAAGACACTTAACTGCTTTGCACTTTTTTGAAAGAAACTACAAAAATTAGGACTGACTTCTGATCATCCAACCCACAATCCTTATAATTGTTATAGAGCTATGCCCCTTATGTTGATGTCAGTCTTCTGTAAACTATTGTCCTATGACGTCTTAAAGAATTTCACGACTTCCGATGTACTGCATGGACCGAACCTGCACCGATATCATGAGCCGAACCTGTCCCAAATTGACATTTAAATAAATTTGTGTATCACAGCAATACGAAAACCAATACCAGGTTTGTAATGTATATCGTCATGTGAAGCTGCTAGTGTGTTACATGTATGCTAAGTAGCAATTCGGTTTACAGATCGGTTTATAGTCGGTTGTAACAATGGCCAACACTACAAACACGGCGCTGTCACACAAGACTTATCCTTTTTCACAAAATTATACACCAAACAGTAGCCATAAACCCAACACATATACTCACACCGGTAGACCATCGTACCAGACATGCACGCCCTCACGCATACAAACACATATCTGCTACAAAGGACACCTACACATAGTCATTCTTTCCACACACAATAACACAATGGAATCTACAATGCACAACACTAGAGGACTTCAAGGCACACTTACCCTATGCAGCCGTTGAAGCCCTCATCACACTCTAAAACATACCCCAGTTTTTATCTTTTATCTATACCTTGCACACAAAAAATCACACAAAAATCCCCAACTAATCACTGTAGATAACCCCCTTTTCACGCATTTGCATTAGGACATGTGTGTCATTTCATTTTCTTCCATATTTTAATAAACATAAACAAAATTGTAAATAATTTATTGTAAAAAGTCAAAATCCTGGCGAATCTGCAAAAGTTTATGCAAGGCTCGCCTGAAAGCATCTGATTACAGGGCCGACATTATTGCATAACGAACAACTCTGGTCCAACCGGTTCAACCAGTTGGATCACGATAAACGAATGCGGCTTAATTTGCCTGCTAAAAGGGGTAATAACTTATATGCTTTTATCAAACCCTTTTCATATTTAATTAAGGTTATCATTTTGTTATTGCTGCGAAATACTAGTTTTATTATGTGACTGATATGTATAAATTAATGCACGTGGGTTAGGAAAATATCAGGAAGATATGACAGTATGAATACACCGTAAACGAACAACTTTAGTCAAACCGTTTGCAAAAACATGTTGACATGAACTTATTCCCGGACGACAGAATTCCGTGTTTTAGTCCTTCCCCTATTTTCGAAGCCGGAAGTAAGTTAATACACAACAACATCCTGAAGTATCACAGGTGATGTCAAAATATAGAATATCCGTGTCAATAATAAGGATATACAGCAACATTTGTAACTTTGTCCTCCAGCAGGTAAGACTAACATTATCAATTTTCTAGTCGTTGTCGTCGGTTTAATATCTGAATCAACTGCATAACTCTTAAATTTGCCAGTTCTAATCGTCACTAATTACCCATCAAATCGGGACAGGATCCAAAACGAGACACTTGTGGGAAAACGGCCCAAGAAACTGTCATTCAATAACATAAGAAGAAGAAGAAGAATTACCAAAACGAGACTTTCCTGATTTACGTGCCGTGCGACGCTATTTATTTGGATTTCATTTTCAAAAGTCTATTTTATCAAAACTAATGCTCGTTTGGAGAAGAATTTTAAACAGAACCCTCGTTGACTCTAAAATATTTCAACTAAGTATATCTTCTGCCGATATTGATCGTCTATCCCAAAGTATTCGCCAAATTACTGGAAGTGGCCCTTTCAGGTTACAGTAACGCCGGTTCAAGGGCCTACGTATCTCTGATGGTATTTTGCGTTATTTTTATAGAACCACGCACCCGAAATATCAAATTGTGATAGAAATGAAAAGTGGAATTAAAGGCATTTTGGTCTCTATTGAGTATAACATAAATTTATCTAAAAAGTGTCCCAATTTAGGTACAGTGATGTTAGGCCTATTTTGACATGTCTTTACTGTTGAAAGTAAGCAACCAAGAAAAGAACTTGAATGTTACTTTAATGACAAGGGTTTGATGAAACTTACTGACTGTTATGTTGATCGGAAACACTGGCCATAACTAAAACAATGTACAAGGTTGGAAGTTTTAGTCCAGGAAAGCAATTGCAGTACATTTGCAATTATTATAGCTTCTGGATGTGCATTTTAATACTTCTATAGAAATATGTGACTTCCGATGCATATTGATACAGAAGAAATAGTTTTCAGTTATCTTGTAATTTATTAGTTAAAATTGTTAATGGCCATGTAACATGTCCTATGTTCCATTGATATGGACAACGCCTTTTAAGGGTGTCTTGGTGTCTTTATTATGGATACATGAAGCCTACAATTACAATAGAAATACCTTTTAGGTCTACATATATGGACAATTGTAGGTATGAATATAGATTAGTAATTACATGAATCCAAATAGATAGTTTAATAAATAGATAGACACAATTAATGATAAAATGAACACTAAATACAATTGTATCACCAGGTTAGTCTATCTTACCAGGTTTCAACTTGAGTTCATGACTGTCCGTCTCTGTGCCCTAGCTGAGAGTGATAGGATGAGGGGTTGTGGTGTGTGAGGAAATTTACCTGTGTTACATATATTACATACTTTGACTGGAATTTTCATGCTTGACACACAATTATGAACCTTAATGACACGAGGGCAAACTGTATATTTCAGGTCAGAATTGATGGTATTCTCTGTAACAAGTTTTTTTGTATCTGGGTCAAGTAATATTTATTAAGGAAGGGTTAATAGTATAACTGGATTTAACCTCTTTGACTATTTTGGCTGATTTTCATAAATAAGTTTATGTAAAAGTATCTTTAGTCAACTACCATATTTCCAGTACGTGTGTTAAGTGAACATCACCCTATAGGTACCACTCCATAATGTCCACCTTATAATTACACGATAACATGAAAGTTAAATAAAACAAGAGGCCCAGAGGGCCTGAATCGCTCACCTGGATATCTAATTATATAAGCAATCATGGCAAAATATTCTCCAAATGAGATCCAAGGGAATATGCCAGACCCCAATGCCAATTCTTGTAGTATATGTCTGTATTAGATTTTCCATACCCCGTAATTTAATGTATGGTTATGGGTGGGGATCTCAACTGTTTCCAAGCTGTGACTCAGAAACTAGGTCCCTAGGGTTGTCGCAAGATCCCAGGATCAATTCTCATATCATGACTGCATTCGTCTCTTTTTGTCCAGCATTTGTATTTATAGTCTTGGGGTGGGGATCTCAACCGTTTCAAAGTTATGACCCAGGGGTTAAGTCTGCAAGGGTGGGGCAGACCCTGGGGTCAATTCTAATATCATGACTGCATTCGTCTCTTTATGCCTAAATATGATCGATATCCATGGCATATTTCTACAGTCGTTTATGGCAATATAGCCAAATTGCCCCCTTTTGGCCCCGCCCCTCAGCCCCCTGGGGAGTCAGCCCAACCATTTGTACAATTTGAATCCCCACCACCTAGAGATGCTTCCAGTCAAATATGGTTGATATCCAGTGCATAGTTCTACAGAAGAATTCGTTTGTAGCAATATAACCATATTGCTCACTTTTGGCCCCGCCACTCAGCCCCTTGGGAGGTCAGCCCAAACATTTGTACAATTTTGAATCTCCACTACCGAGGGATGCTTCCAGTCAAACATAGTTGATATCCATCTCTTTGTTCAAGAGAAGAAGTCGCTTGAATCAATATATCCCAATTGCCCCTTTTTGGCCCCACCCCTCAGGCCCCTGGGGAGCCAGACCCCCGGTTTATACAAAATTGGTTCCCCTTTACCCAAGGATGCTTCACACTAAATATTGAACAAATCCTTTCATTCCTAAAGAAGAAGAAGGATTTTAAAGAACTTTCTATTTCCCCTATTGGGCCCTGCCCCTCAAAACCCCCGGTTTATACAAAATTGGTGTACCCTAAGGCTTTTACCCAAGGATGCTTCCAGACTAAATATGGAACAAATCCTTTCATTCCTACAGAAGAAGAAGGATTTTAAAGAATTTACTATGTGTTTCCTATTGGGCCCCGTCCCTCAGGCCCCTATGGGGCCAGACCCACGGTTTATACAAAATTGGTTCCCCTTTACCCAAGGATCTAGTAGCGATTTTTAGGAAAAGTTGACGGACGCTGGACAACTGACGCCGGACGCCGCGCCATGGCATAAGCTCACTTGCCCTTCGGGCAGCTGAGCTTTAAACCTAAATTTTCCAAAATACCTACATTTTCCAATATTTGATAGGTGCCATCTTTATCATTCCTTCAATTTTTGAAGACAATAGGTTCTTAATGATATGAAACACAATATCAAATTATGATAAATAATACTACCAGTTGTAAAACATCTAATTCACACTAAGCCCATTATAATACTCTGGGGTTTGGGAAAGAGTAAACTTTTGTTACTTTTTCTTCCTCTGCCAGTCAATCGTCTCCTCCCATCAGATCCTGGTATGGTTAACTTGATCTAAAGTATGAGGCAGGGTTTAAATGTACATAGGATCCTGGTTGCCTTCTAGCTTTATGCTAGGGTGAATATCAATATCCCTTAAGATCCTTCCGTACCACAGTGGACTGGGTAGCTAAGTGTAGCTGGTTCAGTCCCGTTACAAATGGTGTCCTTGGCCCTTGAGCTATAACCTGGGTTGTTGTGGTGTTCAAAGGAGAGCAGTTTTAAAAAGGGGGAGTAGCTAGTGTGGCAGGTTTGAATTTTGTACATACAACATGTAGGATCATGGTTGCTTTGCACTGGGGGAATTCCCCATAAGCTCAGTCAGTAAAGTGACAAAATTGGAAGCTGTGGCTGCTAGTTGGATCCCCGGTGGAAGCACACTACTCTCTTTCCTGTCACACTTATCATTATAATGAAGGTAATTCAATAAACACTTGATTTTTCTGGCGTGATGTTATAATGTAACCACAGCTAAAACAGCTGGAGATTTTTCTGGCGTGATGTTATAATGTAACCACAGCTAAAGCAGCTGGAGATTTTTCTGGTGTGATGTTATAATGTAACCACAGCTAAAACGGCTGAAGATTTTTCTGGTGTGATGTTATAATCACTAGGGAATAGTTTTGGGGAAGTTTCCTCGCAAAGGG